CTGTAGGTTTGATGTTTTGATTATTATATGGCGAGGTGACTTCTTTTTCTGGTCGAGCCTATTTGGTGTTCTGTAAGATTCTTGTACTTTCATAGGCATATGTTTCTTTAGGTTAGGGAAGTTTTCTTCTATGATTTTGTTGAATATGTTTTCTGTACCTTTAAGTTGAATTTCTTCACCTTCTTCTATACCTATTATTCTCAGGTTTGGCTTCTTCACGGTGTCCCATATTTCCTGGATATTTTGTGTTAAGGATTTGTTGGTTTTGAGATTTTCTTTGGTTGACGACTCTATATCCTCTAATGAGTCTTCAACACCTGAGATTCTCTCTTCTATCTCTTGTATTCTATTGGTGATACTTGCATCTGTAGTTCTTGATCGTTTACCCAGCTTTTCTATTTCCAGCATCCCTTCATTCTGTGTTTTCTTTATCGTTTCTATTTCAGCTTTCAATCCTTCAACTGTTTGAGTTGTTTCCTTCATTTTTTTGGTTGTTCTTTCTTGGTGCTCTTTAGATTCTTTGAGAGATTTGTTTATTTCTTGAATTTTTTCCCCCATTTCATGGATTTTTTTATTTGTTTTTTCTTCTATTTCTTTAAGGGATTTCCTCATTTCTTCTTTGAGGGTCTCCATCATCTTCCTGAAATAATTTTTAAGGTCTGTCTCCTCTTCTTCGTCTATGTAGTGCTTTTCGGGTCTTGCTGGTGTTGGATCCCTGGATTCTGGTGGGGTCATGTTGGTGTTTCTATTGCTGAGTGTTCTCTTATTCTGTCTTCTTCCCATCTCTTCTTTCAGTGGGTGCCGGTGGGGTCTTTCTGTCTCCACTGGTCTCCTTCCTTCCTGCAGCTGAAGCTGGGGATGCTGACACGGAGTTTGGGTCCTGGTAGGGCTGATGTCTTTCCTGAAGCTGGTCTCGCTGGGGTTGGGGTCTTGGAAGGGCTGATGTCTTTCCTGAAGCTGGACTCACTGGGGTTGGCGTCTTGGAGGGGCTGATGTCTTTCCTGTGTGGGCGGGTCTTCTGGATGCCAGGAGTGGCCCCGAAGATCAAGTGGGATGGGGGAAGGGGATGGGGGAAGGGCGGGGGTCCCCGCTGGAGACCCAATCTCACCTGAAGCTGGACTCGCTTTGTTTATTCTCTTTAATGCACCCTATTTATATTTATTGCTTGTGTTATCATCTCAGGATCTGTCTATTTCATTTTCTGAGATGCGATCTCTCACTGACTAGGCTAGTGTGGCTGGCCAGCGTGTCTCAGATAGCTACATGTCTCAGCTTCTCCAATGCTGAGATATAAGCTTATGATGCAACACTCAGCTCTTTCTTCCTTCCTTCCTTCCTTCCTTCCTTCCTTCCTTCCTTCCTTCCTTCCTTCCTGGGACTAAGCAGGGCATTGGTAGTGCAGACCTTTAATCAGAGGCAAGTGGATCTCTGTGAATTTGAGGCCAGCATGGTCTGCATAGTGAGTGCCAAGATAGATTCCAAAGCTACAGAGAAACCCTGTCTCAAAAACCAACCTCCCCCCACCAAAAAAAGATTCTGGGGACTAAACTCAGCTCTTCAGGCAAGAGCTTCACCACCTGACTTCTCTCCCCAGCACTTCATTCTGCTGTTAGCCCACACAGTTAGCTCTCAACACTTCAGATACTGTCTGACTCAATCCTACCATGGTCACTGGTTATTTTCTCACAGCCTCTGTGCCTGTGTTGAAGATTCCCGTCATTTGTTTTAAGCTTTGTGTAACAGTTGTAATGGCTGCTTTGGTTGCACCAGAGTTTCGCTTTTGTTTTGGGGTCGGTGGGGTGGAGGGAGATTGGTTATGGGGGCCAGGCAGATGAGCAGTAGCTCGTCTTTGTTTGTGGGGCTTAGGGGACTGGGTAGCCCAGCCTTGAACTCAAAATCCTCTCACCTCCTTGCTCTCTGGTGCTGGGATGACATCAGCTTCAAAGTATTTTTTAAAAAATATATTTATTGAGGCTGGAGAAATGGCTCAGCGGTTGAGAGCACTGGTTGCTCTTCCAGAGGTCCTGAGTTCAATTCCCAGAAACTGCATGGTGGCTCACATGGCTCATAGCCATCTCTAGTGGGATCTGATGCCCTCTTCTGGTATAAAGGCATACAAGCAGATAGAGCACTCATACATAAAATAATAAATAAATCTTTTTTAAAAAAGGAATATAAAACTATTTATTGACCACTGTTCACCGTTATTTACAATAAAGTAAATATACAGTTGGATGACATTCTGATACTACAAAGTTACTTTTCTGGCTCATTGAACCAGAACCCAAATACTGAAAAGATTGATCCTACCAGTCAGGAATGAGTCAGGTAAAGAAAAAGCATGCAAGTCATTAAATAATTATTTTCAACATGTAATTATTTTATTTGTTGTTTATAAAAAAGCAGAAGAATGTTTCTCTTCTCCCCATAAATAGGTTTAAAGATCAGTTAATATTTAATAATAGAGTGGAATTTAAAAGAAAGTGATAATTTTATATCACTCTACACTGAGAAAGCAGCAGCCTTCATGGCAAAAGTAGTTCTCAGGTTTCATAGTGTACAGATACATTTAGAAACAGTCCCCAGTGATAAATAAAGGAACTAAATGTCAAATACTAACAATATAATTGATAAATTTAATGATATAAAAAATATAGCTCCAGGCTTTCTTCTGTGTAGTAACTGATGCTATGTTCTCCTATTCCTTATTATTGAGTAACTATTATTGCATGTGTGGCATTCTAAATGAAAATTGAACTTAAGCTTTTTAATCCTATCCAGTACTATTTAATAATGGTATATTATGTGACTTTTCTTGTCATCTTGCTGTGTCATTTACAATAAAAGAGCAAGTCATTAATTTATATTACCAGATTTTGTTCACTTATGTTGGTGGGTCTGAAATTGCCAACATCATCTCTAACTATATTCCATTCCTCCAGCAAACAGATATTCCATGAGTCATAACCTTTTAGTAGATTTTTAACTTTTCTACAAAGGAATGGTTCACTAGAGGAACCTTTACATGCCCACTTAAAGCTTTTTGTTTGGTTTTTAGACACAGGGATTCTCTGTGTAGTCCAGGCTGACCTAGTTTAAATCAGAGATCCGTTTGCCTTCAGAGTGCTGGGATTAAAGGCATGAACAACCATACCCAGCTTGGATCTTGTTATTAAAACACACTACAACTTTTTCTAATTCCATTTTCTGAAGGGCGAGTTAGTAATGACAAAATTTTGTAAATAAACTATTGTATGTGATAACATATAAATTCTGATATGCTTGCTGTAAAACTATCCAATAAATTACAGAATCATCTATTTATAATCTGAAAGGTTATGGTTTCAGGAACATGTTCAAAATGATGGAACCTCATCAACACATTTTCATCTACAGTTTTTGAGTATTAAAAAACAAGACAAAAGTTACATGTCTTATGCAACACACGAATACAAACAAAAAAAACCCAGTTAAAAATAAGTTCTGGTTGACTAATGACTGTAAGATCTCCTCAGTGTTTAAGAAAAGCTGTTCTTCAAAGCCAAGGAAACACAACATGGTGTCAAATATTCTATTGTGAAAGAAAGTAACTACAGAAAGCTTTTATTTGCTCAAAGGAATCAGTGCCCTTTGAGGTAGAACAAAAACCAAAAATATCCCAACTACTATCAATACTTTCAAAAACCAGCATATCAAACTTGACTTTCATTAGAATGCTATTTTTTTCTACACTACTAATTCAAAACCCAAGATCCAGATTATATATATATATATATATATATATATATATATATATATATATATATATATATGCAAACAATTATTTGGCCTCATCTTCTGGACAAGAAAGCCAAGTCAGCCTCTCCTCATGAAAGGCAATGACAATCTGAGGACACTTCATATTTGCCTCCTTTGCCAGCACCAAGTCTGCCTCATCTGAGTCCTTCCATTTCATGAGAAGCATTAATTCTCCACTGCTGTCTGTGGCACCGGTTATTGGTTCAGGATCAAGACCGCTGGCAAAGCCCCTTGGTTTGTCAGCGGCATCTCTCTTCTTCGATTTGCTATCATCAGATTCAGTCAGATAAAGATTTCCTTTTTGTACCATCTTTTTCTTTACCAGCTTTTTGGGAATTAAGAAATGCTTCAATTAATTCTGGACAATCTAAATTTTCTTCTGGTTCCCAAGTATTATCAGCATCTGTGAACTCCTTCCACTTGAGGAAATACTCCAACTTCCCATTCACTACACGCCGGTCCAGTACTTTTTCTACCACAAATTCTTCAGGCTCTGCCTCTTCAACTTTTTTAGTCTTTCCATTCTGTTTCTTTCCCATTTTTTGTTCACCGCTAAGATGCTCTGGGCCTCGGATCCTGCAGTGTCTCCGCTGTGCCCCTAGGCTCAACCATACCCAAGAGGAGGGGCTGGGGGAGGAGAGGAAGGAGGTGCCGCCCATGCCCAGGCCGCCCAGGTGGTGATGGCTCACACCTTTAATCCCAGCACTTGGGAGGCAGAGGCAGGTGGATCTCTTTGAGTTTGAAGCCTTACCATGTATGTGCTCAGTGAGTAGAGGGGCCAGAGATCCCGGAACTGGATTGGAGTTACAGATATTGTGAGCCACTATGTGCATGCTGGGAATTGAATCCAACAAGTCCTCTAAGCCATCTCTCCAACTTCTCTACCTTTCCATTTAACGTATATAAACCAGGTGTGGCAGTGCATGCCTCTAATCCCAGCACTTGGGAATTGGAAGCAGGAGGATCAATGAGTTCAGGGTCATTCTTGGCTAGCTGGAGCCAGAAACAGTCTCAAAACAAACAAACAAAAATGTATATAAACATAGGAACAGGGTCCTCTTCATCCTTTTCCACAAGAGCAACTTCAGCTGCAAGCCCTGAGCATCTGGGTCTGGCAGACACAATCAGAATTCTTGGGTGGAGAGAGTTTTTTGTAGTAAGTAACAATAAGTAATCTGTAACACTTACTTATTAATCCACAGGGAGCAGGATCGCCCCTGTCTGATGATTCTGAGGGTGATTTGCCTCGGATGGAACACCAGCACTGAGACCCACTTAACCTGAACAGGGTAGGTCTGAGTCCTCCCACCTGAAACTGTCTAACTCTTCATAATTCCATAAGAACTTATGACAAAGAAGGGGTGTGCGGCCCCAGAAAAGCAGGGGGAGCATCATCTATAGGATGAAATCACTTTCCATGGAGCTTACATTTGTTCTCAAGCTAACCTGCATTTTACTTGGTGACATAATGTGAATATAGGGTGACAAGTCCTCCAGCAGAATGCCGGTCTGTCTCCAGAATCACCCTTTTCCTGTGGATGTGTAAAGTAAGATCCATTCACTGATTCCCTGGATATTTTTGTCCCAGTAAGGCAGAATGCACAATATATTAAACAGTAACCTTGCTTATAAGAATTAACATTTTAGTGCCCATTCCCACTTGGACATCTGCTATGCTACCTTATTTAATATCTCATTAACTCTGTGTAAAATATGATGGATATAAAATATCATGTGCTTATAATGGTGTCCTTGGAATTAATTTATTAACCTCAGTGAAGTATTGTGAACATCTGTGATGTCAGAGTTAAATTTACTTTCAAGTGAACAAAGCTTAAATTGCAAGCCTTCATTTACACAAGCTCTTTCAAGGCCCCAAGAAAGATCTTTATGAAGCAGTCCATTGAATTTAATTCGCATGAACTCTACAAGTTGCAGGCCCTGTAAAACTTAGGTCTGTTATGTCAAAATCAGTGAGTGTTTGTGTAAAATGAGACAGTATGCTACACATGATTGTTTAGGTTGGAAATTATCCTGAGAACTGTCTTTAAAGTTTCTCAGACTACACAGTACCTACAAGTATTACCAACATATTTGACATGACAAAGTAAACAATGTGACAGTCAGTTTCCAGAAAGCTTCTGTGTAAAGTGTTTGGTGGTGTACCCTGCTTCCAGATGCTGCTAGCACTGAGATGACGTCCTCTTGCAACTGATGCCCTAGAAGAGATCTGCAGTTTGACTGTTTCTTTCTCAACTACCTACATTTTCTAAGAAAGGCTTTGCAGAAGAAGACAAGACAGACTTCCAAATATTTCAAAGGAAGATTGAACAAGTGCCCCCCCCTGCCGTTATCCCTTCACCTTTCCAACCTATTGATGCTATTTCAAGATATATCCATGAAAGAATAGTGATATGGTTCTTGTTACATGAGTGTGTATTTGATATTAGTTAGATTGTGTATTTAAAGTTATCTGAGATTAAAAGAGTAAAAAAGGGAAAGAATCATTATAAAAGGTCATGTTTTTGTGCATTGAACTTTGCATATTATCTATATAAATGTTTACAGTTGAAGAAAATAAAACAAAAGCTAGGCTCTGTAAGAGAAAAGTTTCCTTTACCTTAACTGTAAGAACACATTTAAAAAGCTTGCTTCTAGGCATTAAGATGGTGTGTGACTGCTGTCTAAGGTTAGATGTGTCTTTGTTTTCTGTCGTGTTGATGTGCAGTCAGTGTGGAATGGGAATCAGGTCTCTTCTGATCTAAGTACTGACTGATGTAAACCAGGCAGAGAATCCTGTGTCTAATGACTTGGACTGGCTGGTCCTCTGTAAGAGAGATTCTGGTGCTAATGCTCCGTGTGGAAGGACATGACTAGAATGATGTGGAGGAGAGTTTTGTAGCTACACCTTGGAGTTAAGAACTGAGCTTCTCCCTGAGGAAAAAGGTATACAAAGTAAGGGGTGGTGTACAGCTGCCTAGTAATCGAGCTAGTTCTCCTGGGAGGCCACTTGCTATTGAGTCACTCAACTGGAGAGGCTCTGAGGAAGCTTTTATGAACTCCAGTCTTGTCTATGACAGTGGTTGTAGTTACATGATAATGGTTATGATGGAGGTTGATAGTGGATTCAACCCACAAACATTATTACTATTGCCTTGTTACCGCAAATACTTAGGTTTACCCAAATCCTTTTACAAAGATGCATAGTTATTTGCCTGCATTCCACATAAGCTGATGAACAGGTTTACAAGCTTTTGGGTGGGAGGATAAGACCAGTATGACTCCAGGGTCTTGACTTCTGGGTTTCTAGCCATGGCCCACATTTATCATTTGAGAACATAGTTCTTCAGGGGGCCAGAATTTGTGTAGGTTTTTTGTATCTAACTATCTAATATGTTGTTGTTTTTTCTTTTTTTTCAAAAGCCACTGACTAGAACTTAGCCTAAGAGTTGAACAAGAATTCGTCATTACCCTGGGGGACTTAAAAATGAAATCCTAAACTTGGACACTTGGGACGTCAAAGGAGTAGACATTCAGGAGGAGACAAAATAAAAGGTTCCAACATAAAAGTCTGTTGGTAGTAGTTAAATTAAATTTTCATTTTTATTAATAGACTGTGTTTTAAACCTCTTGCCATGGGTTTGCCTGGATTTTAAGACTAACATGCTGATGAAGTCTCTATGTCACTAGAGTTAGGCTTTCTACTAAAATACCATTTTTTTTTACTTATACTGTGACATTGAAAAATATTGCCAGCAGACAGCAGCATGGAAAGCAGACAGTACTTAACGCTGAGGGCCCCTAGTTCATTCAGTGCTATTTCCATGTAAAAGCCAATAGGAAACATTAGCTTGAAGACCGAGGGAGCTCCATTAGCTACCTTATAATTTGTGTACTTGAGTTTGGTATCTTTGGCCTATTAGGACACTTTGTGAACTTTAGAATTAAGGAAGTAAAAATCATTTCCTAAGTCCTCATTGATATTTGAAGATCATATTTTATTAGAGCTTCAGTGTGGAACTAAAGAACTAAAGATTATTCAAATCAAGTCTGTAGGTACTGACAAAAATAATACCTTTTTTCAATTTGTGGGTATTTAGTCCCTTCTTACAAGAATGCAATTCATGTGAACATGCTAATGTGAAATTATTTTAAGTACTTTTGGGAGACGATGGGCTTGCTGTACCTACCTATGTTTTAAAATGAATAAATATTGTCTAAGCACGATAAATGGCTTTAATTTGTGTTAATTAAAAGATTACAAATAATATACATACCACTATATGGTATTAATAAATACAATTGAAATAATCAGTTAATTCTCTCCTCTTTTTTGTTGATATATGTAGGCAATATTATGACAAAATGACATTTGTCACACCATCTGGCAAAGGAATGAGAGACCCAAGTCCAGGCTTAGAACATGGTTCTGCCAGTAGGGACTCCTTGTGTGTTTGGAATGGCAGGCTTCCCCCACTTTTGCCTTTTTCCTCTTAGCGTATTTTATTCAGCAGAGTCTGCATGAAGCTGCTGGTCTGGAAAATGTGGTTGAATTGATTTTAAGGCCTCCTCATATGACCAACCCACAGGCGGGGAAGTAGAGCCTACCAGGAAATGGGCTGGGAAGTAGAACCTACCAGGAAGTGGGCTGGGAAGTAGAACCCACCAGGAAGTGGGCCGGTAAGTAGAACCTACCAGGAAGTGGGCCGGGAAGTAGAACCTACCAGGAAGTGGGCTGGGAAGTAGAACCCACTACAGCTCGCTTTAAAGGTTTAGGTGTGTCTAGTGAGTTAGACTGTTTTTCTATATTGGTTTGTGTTGAGTGTGCTTATGACAGAAGGAGCCCTTAACACTTCTATTTGTATAAAAAGTTACGTTCTCATATTTCTTTCTAATTGGTATTACCTTTTTTTCTTCTTCTTAGTTTCAAACACAAAATAACTTGAAGATATAACTAATCTGCAGCATAACTACTGCTTATCACACTCTCCTGTGAAATGCCTTACTGCAAACCCTGACGTGTCTCCCAGCAGTAACATGAGTTTGGGACACCTGATGCGTTACTCACCACAATCTTTCTTTAAAACAGAAATAGTCATTTTACATTGTTTTTCATGAAAAGTTGCCCCCCCCCATTTTGGGGCCTTGTCTAATTCTTTTATTCTTTACTATGGTACACAGAATCATTTCTTGTAGAAGTGAGAAAGGTTCAAATAAAACTCTGGGAAATGCTGTGTCAGCATGAGATAGAATCAGGGGAATGAGAACGTTGTGTGTCACATCACCACACTTTTCCTGTTCCTAGACTGGGATGACACCTCTAGTCAGTGAACAGGAATAGCATAGTGCCACTGCCTTGCCAACTCATTTGTCCCTCAAGATTAGGAACCAGACCTTATCAATGTGTTTCTCCTCAGTAGCAGTAATCAGAATAGCAACTGAAAGCAGAGACAGTGTTCATATCTTGTGTGGACCTACCTTGGCTTGGACACTAAAGAAGGTACTTATTAAGAAAGCCAGTGGGTGTTTGTTGACATAAATTATGGCTGTAATTCTTTACAGCAGAAATTAATTTATTAAACATTTATTTAGATACCAAGAGTTGGGGGCCGGAGAGATGGTTCAATGGTTCTGAACTCTGGCTACTCTTCCAGAGGACCTGGGTTCTGTTTCTAGCTCCCACATGTTGGTGCACACCTGCCTGTAACTCCAGTTCCAGGGGATCCCATGCCCTCTTTTGGCCTCCACGGGTACCAGCACAAAATGGCATACAGTCATATATGTAGGCAAAATATCCATACATAAAATAAAAAGTTTTAATAGGTAATATGAGCTTTTGGAGTTTAGACTCCTGGTATCACTTGTATCTTTGTCTACTTTTAAAGGAAGAAGAAATGAGATATTTTCTTTATTATTAAGTGAAGCTTCACTCACAGTACTGAGTACTGATTTTCTGCTAAAGTATTTCCTTAATTAATGGAAATGAAAGGAATTGGGATTTTTCTGGTTGTACTAGTAGCTACGTATCCATGGAACCACATGGCCTCTACAAAGTGGTGAAGGTAAGAGTGTTCCCCAGAGGTCAATATTTGAAGGTATGCAGGTGAGTTCTGAGTCCAAGGCCAGCCTGGTTTACATAGTGAGACCATCCACATCACAAAAACAAAACAAAATGAAAAGGTATGCTTTTAGTTTCAATTGATTCTGCCAAATTGTCCTCCAAAAAGACTGTGCCAAATTATATTCTTACCCTTACTAGGTGAACAGATACTTTTTCTTAGATTAAATGTTGTAGTTTTAAAATTATTTCAATCTTATGTGTATGGATGTTTTGCCTGAATGGTTGTCTGTGTACCAAGTGTGTGCCTGGTGCCTGTGGAGGTCAGAAGGATTTTTTGATAACCTGGGACTGGTGTTATACTTGGTTGTGAGCTGACATGTGGGAGCTGGGACCCAAACCCAGGTCCTCTAGAACAGTTAGTTCTTAGCCAGTGAGCTATCTCTCCAGTCCTTGAGAGCTAATATTAATACATTTTATTTTGGCTAATCTGATGGATGAAAATGATCTCTCTTTGATTTACACTTTTCTTGCTTATTGTTGCTATTACAGATGTGTAGGGTGAAGCCTTCCTGCCAGCCTGGTTCCACGGTGTGGGAACACCAGACCTTGAGCAGAGACCCACTTCCCCTTCTGCCTGGGAGTAGGCAGCTGTAAGACAATGTTTAGTAAAAACATGTTTACTAAAAACGATACAATAAGTTCCTGGAAAAGGCCTTCCCACGGAAACCGCCCTGACCTCGACCTTGTCCAAAGACTAACCGCACCTTCAAAAACCCACACACCTCTGGGGTCAGAGCAGAACCAGCCAGGGGAGAGGAGAGAGCAGAAGCTTCTCTGGTGGGAGCCTTTCTTAGGAAGTTTTCTTGAACCTTTTCGGAGCCTGTTTAAAGTTCTCTTTATATCGTTGAACGAGTCTCTGTGTTGTCAATCCCCGACACCCTCCGCACATTCTCGGACACAGGCCATGCAGCAGACATGACAATTGGAGGTCCCACTGAGATCGTGAAAGCGAGGTAAGTGGACGGGGTTAAGAAACTATGGGGAATAGTTCCAGGAAGCTAGAATCATTACAGTATCAACTAAAAAAGTTACTTAAAGAACATGGGACTGCAGTCAAGTCTAAAACCCTAGAAGGCTTTCTAAAATCGATCGAACGAGCCAGTCCATGGTTCATTACTGGGGGAAGCTTAAATATTCCAGATTGGGAGGAGGTTCGCCGTGATCTTCATAGACTTACGAAAAGAGGGATCTGAGTCCTTGCCCCCTACAACATTCTCCTTATGGAGATTAGTGAGGGGAGCACTTTTGACAGATAAGGTTCGTCACCACCAGGTAGTTCAGGACACAAAAGAGGCTTTTTTAGAGTTACAAGAGACTGAGACTCAAGCCTCCTTGAGTTCAGGGGAAGAGAGTGAGGAAGAGACCGTGACTGAAACTAGAGGCTCCATTGTTAGTGAGGATGACGGGGAGTCTCTTAGTAACAACAAAAAAATGGGTAGAGATCTCCGGGCACGACCCAAAAAGAAGGACTCCGGTCAGAATCGGTTATATCCTTCTCTATCAGACCTAGAAAATGGAAGTAGCTCAGACTCAGACTCGTCACAGTCTGAAAAGGAACGGTTACTTGCTGAGATCGCGACCCTTAAAAAAGAACTAAAAAGATTCGAATTAAGGAAAGACAGGACAGGGAGAGAAACCCTTCCCCATACTCTGAAAAAGGGACTCCTCCTATGAGATAACCCAGTCCTTCTCGGACCTGGAGGGAAGACCCAGAGGAGGGGTCCAATGCTGCCCGGTGGTGGCCCCAGTAATGGAAGTTCCAGATCCGAACAATTCTGGACAGGTCATTAGGCGTCATAACCCTTTAAATTTTAAGGATATAAAACAACTTAAAGAGGCAACTTTAAATTATTGAGCACAGGCTCCCTTTACACTTTCCTTAATGGAATCTTTTGCGTCTCTTAATTTGACACCTGGCGATTGGCAGCAGCTTTGCAGAGCAGCTCTGTCGGGGGGAGATTATTTGATTTGGAGAGGTGAGTTTCAGGAAAGATGCAGCCAGACAGCCCAAAGAAATGCACAGGCCGGACAGCCCCAGAGAAATGTGGAGATGCTTACCGGGAGTGGTCAATACGCCACCATTCAGCAACAAATGCAATATGACATCGCAGTCTATGCCCAAGTGGCAGCAGCGGCCCAAGGGGCTTGGAAAGCATTGCCTTCCAAGGAAGGAGGGGATCATCTGTCCAAAGTCCTTCAAGGACCTTCCGAACCTTTTCAAGACTTCGTAGACCGTCTCAGTCAGGTAGCAGAAAGAATATTTGGGGGCATTGGGCCTGCGATGCCAGTCATAAAGCAGATGGCATTTGAAAATGCAAATAAATATTGTAAGGAAGCCCTTCGCCCCTATCGCAATAAAAGTCTAAATGACTATATCCGGATTTGTAGGGACATTGATGGGAACTTCATCCAGGGCCAAGTGTTAGCTGCTGCTATTTGGCCTCAAGTGGGGAAAGAAAGACCTACCCTGGGAGGGAGAAAAACATGTTTCAGCTGTGGTAGAGAGGGACACTTCCATAGAGAGCGCCCTCAAAATAGTACTACGGGTCTCAAGAGACCTGGTTTATGCCCCCGTTGTCGAAGGGGATATCATTGGGCCAATAACTGCTACTCTAAAACTGACCGGGAGGGAAATTTCCTTCCTGCTAATAATAATCAGGGAAACGGGAGGAGGGCCCCGCCCCAGGGCCCCAAAACCAATGTGTACGGGGCAATGACCCCTGCTCTGGGCAGTCGCAGGACTCATTTTCTCCCCCCAGAGCAACCCCTTCATATCTCAGACCTCCTTAGAGCCACCTCAGGGAGTGCAGGATTGGACCTCGCTCCCTCTGCCTGGGCAATCCTAACACCGGAAATGGGGATCCAGGCCCTCCCTACTGGGGTGCATGGGCCATTGCCCCCAGGCACGGTCGGACTACTCTTGGGACGGTCCAGTACTATTCTTCGAGGCATCCAGGTACACCCTGGTGTTATAGACCAGGATAGTGAGGGGGAGATTAAAATAATGACATCAGTGGGCAGTGGGGTTGTTGCCATCCCTGCAGGAGAACGGATTGCTCAGATACTCCTCCTCCCTACAGCTCCTTGTGAGGCTAGAAAAATTAAAGAAAAAAGGGGCAACCAAGGTTTTGGAAGTACCGGCCCAGCAGCATTTTGGGTAGCCACTATGGAGAACCGCCCCCAACTTACATTA